TGAAGTGGAACAAAATGTATTGGATAATTTAAACTTTTTTAACAAATAAAAAACTGAAAAGTGGGGCGTGCAATATTATTCGGCCCCCTTGCGCTAATACTTTGTAGCGCCACCTTTTGCTGCAATTACAGCTGCAAGTCGCTTGGGGTATGTCTCAATGAGTTTTGCACATCAAGAGACTGGAATTCTTGACCATTCTTCCTTGCAAAACAGCTCGAGCTCAGTGAGGTTGGATGGAGAGCGTTTGTGAACAGCAGTCTTCAGCTCTTTCCACAAATTCTCGATTGGATTCAGGTCTGGACTTTGACTTGGCCATTCTAATACCTGGATACGTCTATTTGTGAACCATTCCATTGTAGATTTGGCTTTATGTTTTGGATCATTGTCCTGTTGGAAGATAAATCTCCGTTCCAGTCTCAGGTCTTTTGCAGACTCCAACAGGTTTTCTTCCAGAATGGTCCTGTATTTGGCTCAATCCATCTTCCCTGTCCCTGCTGAAGAAAAGCAGGCCCAAACCATGATGCTGCCACCACCATGTTTGACAGTGGGGATGGTGTGTTCAGGGTGATGAGCTGTGTTGCTTTTACGCCAAACATATCGTTTTGCATTGTGGCCAAAAAGTTCGATTTTGGTTTCATCTGACCAGAGCACCTTCTTCCACATGTTTGGTGTGTCTCCCAGGTGGCTTGTGGAAAACTTTAAACGAGACTTTTTATGGATATAAAAAGGCCACTCTTCCATAAAGGCCATAAAGGCCAGATTTGTGCAGTGCACGACTGATTGTTGTCCTATGGACAGACTCTCCCACCTCAGCTGTAGTTATCTGCAGTTCATCCAGAGTGATCATGGGCCTCTTGGCTGCATCTCTGATCAGTCTTCTCCTTGTTGAGATGAAAGTTTGGAGGGATGGCCAGGTCTTGGTAGATTTGCAGTGGTCTGATACTTCTTCCATTTCAATATAATTGCTTGCACAGTGCTCCTTGAGATGTTTAAAGCTTGGGAAATCTTTTTGTATCCAAATCCGGCTTTAAACTTCTCCACAACAGTATCTCGGGCCTGCCTGGTGTGTTCCTTTGTCTTCATGGTTCTCTCTGCGCTTTAAACAGAACCCTGAGACTATCAAAGAGCAGGTGCATTTATACGGAGACTTGATTACACACAGGTGCATTCTATTTATCATCATCAGTCATTTAGGACAACATTGGATCATTCAAAGATCCTCACTGAACTTCTGGAGTGAGTTAGCTGCACTGAAAGTAAAGGGGCCGAATAATATTGCACGCCCCACTTTTCAGTTTTTTATTTGTTAAAAAAGTTTGAATTATCCAATAAATTGTGTTCCACTTCACGATTGTGTCCCACTTGTTGTTGATTCATGACAAAAAATTAAAATGTTATATCTTTATGTTTGAAGCCTGAAATGTGGCGAAATGTTGAAAGGTGAAAGGTTCAAGGGGGCCGAATACTTCCGCAAGGCACTGTATATACTGTATCTCATTATCCTGGAGAAGCCTCTAAGTGCCCCTGTCTCATTACGTCTCCTCGTGGGAAACACCACAGGATCTATCGTCCCTCACAGGACTTATGATTTGAAGACCAGGCATGGCGGTGAGCGTCCTCAACAACACTATTCTTTCTAGTTTTTCTCTTGTTTTTTTTTTCAAAGCAAATTGCAGTAACTTTTGTCAATGTTCATATCTCAATCACTCTAGGTCAAGGTCAAGGTCAAGTTTATTTATAAAGCACATTTAAAACAACAATGCTGCCCAAAGTGCTGTACACAAAAATACATGTATATAAAATACACAATTTGAATATAATAAAATTAAAATACAGATGCGGAAAAACAAAATTCAACACCAGCAAAAAAAAGTCCTGCTCAGTTTTAATTAAAGGACTTCGCAAACAAATGGGTCTTCAACATAGACTTAAAAATGCCTAAAGACTGGGCTGCCCTAATATTTAAGGGGAGACCATTCCAAAGCGTCGGAGCCGCGACAGCAAAAGCCCGGTCTCCTCTGGTCGACATTCGTGACCTCGGTACGTCTAACAGAAACTCGTTAGCTGACCTCAATGTTCTGCTCGGAGTATGAACAGACAGAAGCTCAGAAAGGTACGCAGGAGCCGTCCCATTCAAACACTTAAACACCAACAACAGCATTTTAAACTGAATTCTGTGTTTTACAGGGAGCCAATGTAAAGAGGCCAACACAGGGGTTATATGTTCAAACCTTTTGGCTCCCGTGAGCAGACGCGCTGCAGCGTTCTGTACCAACTGCAGGCGATGGATCGAGCTTTGGTCTAGCCCACAATACAACGAGTTACAGTAATCCAAGCGGCATGTTATAAAGGCATGAATCACACTCTCCAGATCTCTATGTGGTAAATACGGCTTAATTTTACTCAGAAGACGCAGTTGGTAAAAACTTGACTTTACAACTGAACCTATTTGCTTGTCCAACTTAAAAGATCCATCTAGGACCACACCAAGGCTCCTGGCTGACTGGTGACAGTAGCCTTTTAGTGGGCCAAGAACAGATGGATCAGACAAATTTCCAAAAACGACAAAATTTCCGTTTTAGATTCATTAAGTTTTAGAAAATTCTGGGCCAACCAGTCCTTTACATCCTGAATACAATGTAACAGAGCTTGGATGCCGTCTGAACCTGGTTTCAATGGCAGATAGACTTGCAGGTCGTCTGCAAAACAATGAAAGGGAATCTTATGTTTTTTGAAAATAGATCCAAGGGGCAACAGGTACAGTGAGAACAATAAAGGACCTAAAACTGAGCCCTGTGGCACTCCGCAGCTCAGTGGGGCCGCATCTGAGCTGTAAGGTCCCAGGTGGACAGAGAAGGAGCGATTTTCAAGATATGATCTGAACCATTTTAGGACCGTTCCTCCAATACCAACATGGTTTTCAAGGCGGGAAAGCAGTATTTGATGGTCCACCGTGTCAAACGCTGCAGTTAAATCTAAAAGCACTAAAATAGTGGGGTGACCCGAATCAACATTTAAAAGAAGGTAATTAAAAACTCTTAAGAGTGCAGTTTCAGTGCTATGACACGGTTTAAAACCCGACTGAAATTTTTCAAAGAGGCTATTTGCTTCCAAGTGAGACTGAATTTGGGCGTGAACCAATTTCTCCAGAACTTTTGATAAAAAAGGCAACTTAGAAATTGGCCTGAAGTTAGACGGAACTTCAGGATCTAAGCTGTGTTTTTTAAGTAGAGGCTGGACAGCAGCATGCTTGAAAGCACTTGGGTCGCTGCCCGAGATCAATGATGAATTAATAATTCTCATTATAAAGGGCCCAATCACACTGAAGGAGTCTTTAAGAAGTTTAGACGGGACACAATCAAGTGGACAATCAGAGCGTTTTAACTGGTGCACCACAGTAGACAGCTTATCAAGTGACACAGATTCAAAATGTTCAAGGACCACAGAACAAACAGAATTCACAGAAGGGTCCACAGCAGCACAATGTAATGTAGAATCCCGAATAGCAGATATTTTATCCACAAAGAATCTTTGAAAATTGACACACAAAGTTTCTGATGGTACAATGCCACTGGATTCAGTGGGATTCACAAGGCGATTTAAAACAGTAAAGAGAACTTGTGGTTTGTGACCATTTGTAGATATCAGGTTTGACATGTACTCAGTTTTAGCGCATTTTACTGCTCTTTGATAATTAGACAAACAATCTCTTAAGATGCCCAGGGAAACATGAAGTCTGTCCTTTTTCCAACGCCTTTCTGCACGTCGGCACTCACGCCTGAGCGCGCGCGTGGTGTCATTTAGCCAGGGCTGGGACTTACTCTTAGGCTTACATGTATTATAAGGAGCAACTAAATCCAGAATTACAGTACACGTAGACGTGAACAAACAAGTTAGCGCATCAGTATCAGAGTCACATGACAGTGAAGGCGCAGAAGAAACAAAGGCATTAGAGAATGCCTCCGCTGTAGAGGATGTGATTACGCGTCGCCTGCGCGCCATGGCACATGGAGCCAAAAGGCAGGGAAGATTCAGTGAAAACAAAACAGGTATATGATCCGAAATCTGTGTATTACAGAGATCCTCGATACGTACAGTCAAACCATAAGATAGAACGAGATCGAGTGTGTGCCCCTTTTCATGCGTGGGGCCACTGACCCACTGCGTCAGATTAAAAGAGTCAATCACAGTTTTAAAATCCTTGACCAAAGGCTTGGAGTCACAACAGACATGGATATTAAAATCACCAGCTATTAGAAAATGGTCAAATTTAAGAGCAATTCCTGCTAAAAAGTCCGAAAAGTCCACGATAAAATCTTTATTGAATTTAGGCGGACGATAAATGAGCGCGCACAACACAGGCACGCTACGCTGTATCACAAATAGCTGCAGTTCAAAGCTCGAAAAGGAGTTTGATGGATACTGACGGCATTTAAGAACAGAATTAAATACAGTGGCAAGCCCTCCACCTTTGCCAGAGGTACGAGGAGTGCTAATAAAGTCACAGTCAGGAGGAAGGAGCTCAGAAAAGGCTGAACACTCACCGGGCCGAATCCAAGTTTCTGTCAAAAGCATTAGATCCAAATGACGAGATACAAAAAAATCATTGAGTACGAAGGTCTTATTCGCCAATGATCTGACATTCATTAACGCAATATGAAGAAAGTCCTCATTGTTAGGCATGCGGGCATGACTCTAACATCAGATCTCAGATCTCAACAACAAGAAAACCCTTTTTTTTTTTCAAGTGAATGTTAAACCTCAACTCACACTTTCAGCTGTATATCATCCAAATGTGTGGAGCAGCACCATGAGAAAAAAGTATTGGCTCGAAGACTTGGCAAACAGATCTTTTTTCCAATCTGTGTTTCACTTTTTGCTGACTCCAGTGTCCATGTCTTGTAAACCCTAAATAAATGGTGGAATCATTAAAACAGTAGCTCTGTCGACAGCAGCTTTACACAGCTTAATCCTGTAGTGATGTTATTTCTGTGCTGTAGGAGAAGGAAGAGCGCTGGAGACATCACGTCGCAAAACTCACCTCCAGTCAAGAGAAAACACTGCAGCAAAGACTGGACAGGATCAGGACATTTAGGGTAACCTTCTGCTCCACTTTGTGCAGTCTGAACGCAGTCAGACTCCCACATTTTTCATTTGAACCTTGACTGTATATTTGGTCATAATAGTGTAATTTGACCGAAAATAATTTATATTTGACATTTTTATACAAGTAAGAATAACGGCTCAATTCTATAAAAAGGTGAAAAGACATAATGGATTCTTATTCATTGGGCCCAAGGAGCAACTGTTATTACAGTTGCAGTTACTTTGATGAGGTTGTTAGAGTTGTACCTGTATAAGGTTGAAAAATACTAATTTAGAAAAATAAAAGACCAACATCAAACAAGGACATACAGTATGAGTGGACAAAATGTTGTGTCTTAAACTTAATATTTTCACAAGGATTGTAGGATTAATAAAAATTAATAATCAATAATAATAATAATAATAATAATAATAAGCAATAATGACATTAAAGCAACTGGAAGTATTTCACTACTCGTATCCTGATCTGTTTAATAATAAAGCATCAGTTTTGTAGAGCGCTTTTCTGGACACTCAAAGACGCTTTATATGTCAATATTCTTTCACTCAAAACACGGTGGTGATAAACTACTACTGTAGCCACAGCTGCCCTGGGGCACACTGACAGAAGCGAGGCAACCAGTATGTGCCATCGGCCCCTCTGACCACCATCAACACACACACCAGACTCATTCTAGGCAATGGGGGTAAAGTGTCTTGTCTAAGTTTGGCACTTTACAGCCGCAGCCGCCCCCAGAGGTTAAGTGTCTTGCCCAAGGACACAACGACAGCAGACAGTGGGAGTCGATGGTGAAGGTCTGGCTCGAACCCACGACCTTCTGGCTCAAAGGCCAATGCTCTACCAACTGAGCTACTGTTGCCCTACTGTTTAGCGATTCTCTCCTTCCAAACGCTCGGTGACGTTCACTTATGTTCTGAGTTTTTGTCAAATTCACCCTCAGTTGGTGGCAGTGGGCTATTTCTATTACCCTTCACTCGATCTTCCCATCTTATTTGTGCTTACAGATTACTGACAAAACAAGTTAGAAGAATGAAGTCTGTTGTACCTAGAAAGATAATGTCACTATCTTGCCAAGCTTTGTTTTCTGTTCTGGAGGCGCATGTCAAATATGTGAAGTATTTTATCATCTTAATAGCACTAGTTCAGATTCCCAGATGGGAATTCTCAATTATAAAGGTCTGTTTGTGTTTTCAGGAATTTCAGAGAAGAGTGCTTTTGGTTGAAGCAGAGACAGAGGGCGGGTCCGGCCATGGACAAGTGGACCACATGACCCGGATCTGACTCGCTGGGCCTTGAATATATCTGAACCAAAATAACTGGAGACAATGTCTCTGAGGTGTGATGCTTAAATGTCCAGCTACGTCCTTTGATTTTTATTGGATTCTGACATTCCCTGCTTCCAGCGACCCTTGTTCCAGGAAAGCCTGGTTCCAAAGGGATCCTTTGGATCCAGGATCAGTGAGGGGCTTGTGCTATGGGACTTGGGTGCAGCTCTGACTCCCACCCCTTGACCCAGAAATTGATGGAGCGGAATAAAATAGATGGATGGAGTTCTGACTTCTTTTGAGCCAAGCTAATTTTGTTACTTTTACATAAGTGCTCTTATGACCAATAGAGTGAGCCCAAATGCAGGGCTCACTCAAAGGTTGGTTAACAGGAACTGGAACTGGAGTAAGTCGGAGTAGGAGCTGAGTAGAAATGGAGCTAGATCGGAGAAGGAGTGAAACTGCAGAGGTAGAAAAAGACGAGGATACCAAAAAACTAGCACAAAAGGCCTGAGGTGTTGTCTCACAATTGTCGATCTGGCAAAGTTCTGGTGAAATGCCCAGGCTTAAATACTGAGGTGAAGAGTGATGAGAGGCCGGTGTGCAGGCCAGGAACAGTGAGCAGTGTCAGCCACGCCCACAGCAGCAGGAACAGGAGGGAGGCGCTGAGGAGCTCATAGAAGGCTCACCGTAACAAGTGCACTGTATTTGTCAAATATTCATTTGTTTTCCTCAATTGGGTAAATTACAGACCTCTGTCATTATTTTAAGTGGGAGAACTTGGACAATTGGTGGCTGACTAAATACTTTTTTGCCCCACTGTATGTACTTTTTATTGTACACAAGATACCTTAATTGCACTAAAGATGCCCTATCTACCCTGTGTGTTTGCTTATTTCCTGTTGTTTACACACCCTGAGTGATTGTCTTGATGTAAAATGGAAGATGTAAACAATAGACTATAACCTGGGACCATATGTAACCTGTAGACCATAGACTGCATCCTTGGATCCTCGCACAGGGTTGCGGTTGCCATGTCCCTTTTGCATCCACATCCACATCAACCGATCAGATCAAAGCTGTGGCGTGAATAATTCTCACAGTAAAGACATGTGCTCTGTCCCCACAGGTAGCACGTGTGTGTGTATGTGGTTGAGACTTGGTAATGACCATGTCTGCTCCCGGTCCAAAGTCAGGTCAGATTATTAAGAGTTGGATTGTGTATCTGTTTGCTATGACGCCTGTAATCTGTACATCTACATAATCATAATAAATTGCAAATGATATAATCCAAAGAAAAATGCCAAGAACTCTCTTACTGATACACATTTGTATGTGCCTTTAAAAAAATGTCTCTACATGGTCGTCTGGACTCTCTTTTAGTGTTTATGTAATTTAATTCCTTTTTTTGTAGCCCTAAATCAAAGCAGTAACAAAGTTGTCCACAAACAACAAATGATCAGAGATTCAAACAGTACAAACATAACAAATGCAATCACAATAATGATTGCCATTAACCAGTAATATCTGATGTGCTTTTTATGCTTCATTACTGTCCATTGCTGTCCTGTCAAGCCACATGAAAAATATGAGTCCAGAAAAATTCAGGAAAATAAAAAACTAGCCACAGAAATACCATAAACAATCTAATTCGTCACATGCTGCATGAATGGACATTATTTTTTTCAAATAATATCATAAAAGAAGTGCATGACCTTAGGATTCTAAAATAACACTTAATGGATTCTCAAACTGATAAAAGACTATATTCGGATGAATCCCAAAAAGCAGAGAATGAGGCCAACCATTAAGCCTTGAGAGTATTATTTATACATAAATGTGTGCGGGTTACTCTGTAAATCTTTCATGAATACAAAGTTGTTAAGCAGACTTGGGGTTTTAACCCTATAAACTGTATACAAACCAATAGCGCTAATGCATCATGATTGTGTTGCTTGTATACACCCGCATAGCCACCATGTCATTAGTGATGCGAACATGTGTCCAAACAGGATAGAAGAGCTCTTGGGACCTAAGCTCAGAGGCCTTCTATGGTCTGTATGGGGCAGGGGAACAGGAGATGGCCACTTACTCATAGCGGGGAGAAAAAATGGCAGACAGCAGCATAAGAAGTGTTTAAGAGTGAGATGTTCCCAGGCAGTGTCCAGTGGCATTTAGGTCACACGCATCAATTTTGGACATGTTCAGAGCTCATGTACGTAGGTCTGCAGTCTGAGTACTACCAATCATATCATTAAAGTCTAATTAATGGCTTTTAAGATTGTTTGATGAGGAAATGCTTGTTGTACAGTTCCATGTACGTTAGCCTCTACACTCCCAGCGATACCTCTGTAATAATCTAAAGGCGTCATTGTTATTATCTGTAAATCTCCGGGGACCCCTCTGAGGACAGTTGAAATTGGCAGGCACAACAAATAAACAATACTGATTTTTAGAATATATTATCAGAATATGTTAGCCTACATGACAAGGCGAATCTTCTCACAAATCAGAATCATGCTTTGACAAACCATTCAACTACTGCCCAATACTTGATGTTTCTATTTTAGTATGACCCTGGTTAGTAATATTAGTCAGCATATATAGTATCAGGTGTGCCCTTTGTTTCCACATCACTGCCCTGTTCAGCTCTTTCATGTGTTTTTAAAGACCAGACAAAGACTCGGAGGGATCAGGGAACTCTAGATCTGTAAAGACTGGAGTTTCAGGTCCATCTCTTTGAACAGCAGACTAAGACTGGAGAACATGATAGAGTATGTGGCAGTTTGTTACAGTGTGATAGGTGGAGGTAAGGTATAGTTCAGCCTCAGGGCACAGACGCATTCAGAAGAACCAGAACACTTTTGCCTTTAGAGTAACAGTGTTTACTACAATATTACAACAAGTCAGAACAAGTTTACTTCCTGCATTCATCATAGCATTTTAGTTCACAAATGGGCACAATTTGGTTTATCAATGATTTTATCTAATGAAATAAAATATCCTAAAATCTAAGGCCCCGTTTACACATTTTTGCTGCTGCTGTTAAATGCTGAATGATGTTGGTGCATTCTTTTCCGTCTCTGTGGAGGCCTGAGGAGGATGTTGTTGAGGAAGTAGTTCTTCTGCTGGGTGTTGCGCGTTGTGAAGTTCCACTGCCCACTACTGGCTGGGCCACATCATCTTCCGTCACCATGTACATGCTGTGCACTTCAAATCCAGAGATGGGTCTTCAGGTAGGTGAAGTGGCTGGTGAATTTTCAGAGCAGAAACTGCTGCTTTAACTACAGTGTTGGGGAGTATTGGAATACGTATTAATAATATTATCTTATCATTGTTGTTTACGTTTGTTCCAGGGCCTTTTTTCCGTCAAGTGTTGTTTTTTATGTTTCCATAATAAAAAAGAAATAAAAAAGGTCACCACAATATTACACTATAGGGTTATATATGAGCATAGATTGAATGAAAGTATTATTGGACCTTATGGAATAAAAAATATGAAAATATTTTCAAAGCATTCTGCCTTTTTACCTTAAAGGTAAAAACGTGGTAACCAATAACAATTATGACCTATCTAAGAATATTTACCTCCACCATGTTTTTTAATTGTTGTCTTTAGCCCTATTCGGACGGGATTAGTTTTACATGAGGACCCCTGGTAATTTGTGATAATCACAGAGGACGTCTGTGATTTTAGACCCGTGCGAATGCGCCATGTCTGTAATTTGTAAAGTAATAATTCCGCCGCAAATTACCTCCTGTATTTGTCCAAACACAGATGTCCTCTGATAATACTATTCCCGAGCGAATCTGCATGTCAGTGATTTTGATCGCTATTGCCGCTTTCTCTTTACTTTCTGCGTTGTTTTTGCCAATGAGCAGAGGAGTCGCGTATTGCGGCTGCTGCTGTCCCTGTGAGGTCTATGGAGAAGTGTAGATGACAGTGTAATGTGTTCACGGACACAAAATGATCAGACCGATGGGTTGCGTCGTACGTTTACTCTGCACTCTGTCCTAATACTGTACAGACGTGTTGCTGCAGCCGTCACTATTTGTCGGCTTGCGCGTATGAGTATACAATACAATACAATACAATACAATTTATTCTCACAACAGAAGTCATCTCAGAGGCCTTAACAAAACCATTGAAATCACCAACACAGGTCAGAGAATCAACAGTTAAAACACATGGAGAATATAAAGCACACACAGAAGAAAATGTCCATACATGTTGTAGAATGCTAAAGTGTCCTGATCATCACCAATCCTTTCTGTTGGACACTAACTGTCCAACAAGACCTTCCTGCATAGACAAGGAAAAACTCTTAAAAAACCCAGTGGGAAAAAGTGAGAAACCTTGGGGAGAACTAGGGAAACCCACAGGGAGGGAGACCCATTTGAGAAAGGGATCCGCTCCTCCGGACGGACAGGCTAATGATCTAGGACCTAAGCTAGCTACAGGACGTGGACCAGTGGCCGCTGAACGTGGACAGGTCCGGTGCAGGACTGAAGCACTCCCAGGCGGGTCGGGCGGGGCAGTCTGCAGGTGTAGATGGAGGAGGCCAGGCTCAGAGATCCCGTCATCGTACCATGAAACAGACAATGGGACAACGGGTGAATAGCAATGAACAAACTACAGTCAAAAATCCTAATAATGCTAAACAGGTAAAGTAGGAAGGAGGAGAGGATAGTGCTCAAGTTACCATACTTCTCCCAGCAAACTGACTCCCTATGCAGCTTGACTGACAGTCTGAGGAGTT